AGCATCTTCGTTTATGCAGCCTTCGGGACAGAAGGAAGACTGCTACTGATCTTAAGCATGAGAAATACGACCATATATCAAATGACAGAAAAGTGTCCAGATCTACAGTATCAAGAAGACTCGACAAGAATGGAATATTTGGTCACGTAGCAGTTATAAGACCTTTACTTCCATCTCCAAACATTGTCTGAGACTGAAATTTGCTAAATAGTACAAAAACTGGAAAAGGATGTTATGGACGGATGAGTCCAAGTTTGAAATATTTGGTTCAAAGCGTAGATTGTACGTCCATCTGAGGCGACAGGAGATATTTGTAAGTTAGATGGAATAATGGACCAGTGCAAGAACCATCAGATATTTATCCATCATGGTATACCCAGTGGTTTGCATATTATTGGTAAAGGATTCTACTAACAAGAAGATAATGACCCCAAACACTCATCCAATCTATGCAGAAATTACTTTGCTAAAAAAGAAGCTGCCTGAGTCATTCACTCTCAACCCAATTGAACATAAGTGGGATTTAATAGATCAAAAACTTTACAAATCTAAAGTTACTTTGAAAGAAACTTTATGGGAGTGTGTTAGAGACATTTGGAGTAAAATCCCAAAGGACACTATGATTAAACATGTTTATCTGCGGTTATTAAAGCAAAAGGAGGACACACAAAATATTAACTGTTTGCTCAAATCAAGCACTTCCACTGAGTTTCTGTTGTACTAAACATGAAGATTAATAAAATTTTGATGTTTCACCTGTGATTTACCTTCCATTTTTCTTTGAAAGTAGCCTAAAAACTAATTTTTGACAGATCGTGTGTGCTATGTGGTTTTTCTCGTCATTCCATTCTTTCTTGTTTGGTATGATGAAAATAATCGAATCTTGGTCAGTGTTAAATGAATCAGTCAGTTGGGACACCGTCTGACATCTGTTAAATTTTCAAAGCCTGTTCAGTCGTCTTCCCCATTAACAATTTCTTATTAAATGGGCACCTAAGGTACATCTCACTCTCCTAAATTGTATTTCTTTTGATAATTTCTTCAGGCGAAGAGTGGCAAACGGAGGTTAAGACTGATAGACGGTGTATTCCCATCGCAATGTGGGTCCTACTTCCGCAGTCAACTCCAAACCCAGGGCATATTTTACACCCTACATTATAGCCTGTACCCTTATAGTGAGTACTTGTACCTAGACACACTGTATACTGGATACTTGTATCAAAAAACACTGCATATTGGATACTTCAGCTATACAGATGGTAAGTCAGATACCATGAAAACTTGTATTTAGATATACTGTATTATTAAGAATGTTTCCCTAGAATCGTTGGATACTTGTAACCAGATACACTGTACATAGACACTTTTCACCAGATACACTGTATATAAACACTTGCAACCAGATACACTGAACAATGGATACTTTTGTATCGAAAACAGATAAACCTGTAAACTGGATATTTACATGTTTATATATATATATAATATGAGTTGCATCACGATATTGCAATAGCCATAACATTGTTACCAGTTGTTTCAGGACTTGTTTCATCACCATGGGTCTTCATCCCTATAAGCATATAGCTTGCTGCACCTTATAAAGGGCACCATTCTCTAATATTGCTGTACCCATTGAAAACGTGGAAGAAATAATGATAGGAAACAACAAAGTGGTATAGGGTTAGTCATGTCTGTAAGGTCACAAGTTAACTATACGCAGATTTCTAACATCTTTTGCTTACCCTTACTATTTGAGTCGATGTCTAAGATTATCATGCTGTGACATTCCAAGCAAGTTTTCTAGACGATAAGAAAATATCCCAGTTAATTATCAACTAAAGCTGAAGTCGAGAGTGTGAAATTGATCCAAGTACGTTTAAACAACGAACTTTTACTATGGATTGTGAACATAAACTGCTAGCAAAATGCAGCAGTAGTTTTCAGATTCAACCTTTCGACATTGCTTCTCTTTACTTCAGAACAAAAATAATTCTTAACATATTATTAGAAATATGACCGTACTTCTCATCAGCTTGGAAAAAGAATATGAAGTTCAAAACCTAAGAATCTTAAAAGTTGGAAGTGAGAGAATATGCGAGTTCTATGCGTTGCGGATAGTATGAGCTTAGTAAGTTACTGTAGTGTCCTATACCCTGTTCATGTGCTAGAAAAAATAGTTTTAGTTCTGAATCAAGACATCAAAGGTTAATGCGTGTGTGAATTTAGACCTTAAGTGTTACTCTGGGTAGCAGGACTCGGGGTAATGTTTACTTTGCTGTGACAGTTTTAGTAAATCCAACATCACTAAGTGTGTGATGTTACTTTATGGCTGTTACACGATATGGGGATTTCACCAAATTCTTAAAATTATGTTTATGCTTAGTCAACGATAGTTATTATTATCGTATT